TTCCTCTGTGTGTGTGTCTGTGTGTGTGTTGAGAGAGAGAGAGAGTATGTGTGTAAATGGGCTCTCCTTCTGTGTTCCTTTGTGTGTGTGTGTAGAGTGTGTCTCTGTGTGTGTGCATCTGTGTGTGTAAATGGGTTCTGCTCCTTCTGGGTTTTTCTATGTGTGTGTTTGGAGAGAGAGAGAGACAGAGAGAGACACAGAGAGGCACACACACACACACAGAGGGAGAGAGAGAGAGAGAGAGAGAGAGAATGAGTGTGTGTTTGATGTAATCTCTCATCATTTTTCTTGGAGAGCTGCAATATTCTCTGGGACTCTAAAATTTCCTTTCCAAATGTTTTCATCTCTCTCTAATTTATTTTTTACTTTTTGAAATTAGAATATAATTACATCATTCCCCTCAACAATCCCTCACATGCACCCCCCCTCTCAAATTCATGACCTTTTCTTCTGTAATTGTTGTGAAATACATACATCAAACTTTCTTCCACTTCAGGCTTTTTAAGAGTCACTTAAACCTCAGCTAGAACTAGGAGGAGAATGCCCCCTCCCCTTAACAACCCCGGTCGCCCTTTTCAGTAAAACTAAACCTAAGACAAGGCGAAACAGCATTCCTCTTTGGAAACCCTACTCTTCTTTCCCACTATCTTGGCCCCTCCACAGTCTACTGGGCTGTAGGTGACACTGTTCATGTTCTCTGATATAAAAATTATGCAGAGCAGGGCATTGGTGGCACACACCTTTAATCCCAGCACTCAGGAGGCAGAGGCAGGTGGATCTCTGTGAGTTCGAGACCAAGCCTGGTCTATCGAGTGAATTCCAGGACAGGCTCCAAAACAATTTCCCTGTCTCGAAAAAAAAATTAAGCAGAATTATAGTCAGGCAGGGATCGGGTGTCTGGACAGAAACGATGCCGCAGGTATGACCCGTGTCCCCCATGAAGTCCTTCAGCTGTGGCAGGCTGGGAGGATGGCACTAACAGATTCAGGAGGTCCTTGTAAGCAGAGATCAGTGGCTAGCACTAACCAGAGGACCCGTGATGGCATCGGAAGTTCAAAGGTCACTGAGACTGTATCAACACGGAGGTTAGGGAATCTGTGTGAGCATGGGCGTGCTATCCTGGAGACCATTCCCAAAGTTCCAAGTTTTGTATCAGTTCACCGAGCGGTAGCTTTGGCTACAAGGCTCACAGCTTAGGACTGGTTGGTTCACTAGCAAATCAACACCACCTTGAGGTTAGTGCCTTAGCACATGAATGTCTGTCTTGGGCTAGGCTCCCATCTGACCTCATTGGGATTTTAATTCAAAGAAATAATGAATGTGCTGACCAGTTTTAATATGAGCTCGACAGAAGCAAATGAGACAATGCCTCCATAGGAGCATGCCGCAGGCAAGCCTAAGTGGCATTTTCTTAATTAGTGACTGCTGGGCAGGTAGACCATTGTGGACGGTGGTGCCACCTGGGCTGGAGGCCCTGGGTTAGCCACTTGGTGGTGGGTTAGCCATGAATAGCAAGCCAAAAAGCAGCACTCCTCCATGGCCTCTGCCTTGGCTCCTGCCTCCAGGTTCCTGCATGGTTGACTTTCCTCATTGACCGTGACTAGGGACATATAAGCCAAATAAACCCTTTCCTCTCCAAGTTGTTTTTGCTCATGGTGTTTTGTCACAGCAATAGTAACTCTTGCTAAGACAAGTAATCATGGAACAATGCTTATGCGATAATTAGAGACACTGGAACAATGACTGTTTGATGAAATTAAAGATGATGTCTCACTAATCAGGGATGATAACGCCGTACGACTGCCATGTAAAAAAGCTCTTATGTTTCCAAGACATATTAAAATCGTTTATGCATGAAAAGCTATGTTGATGTATAAAATTTGTTTCAGAATAATATCTGTGCGCAGGAAAGTGAATCTGGTTCTGAAATAAGATGCAAGGAGCGCTCCACACACGGGCTGTCAGATTTGATTTGATAATCCTATCTGTGTCTGTTTCCATGGCCACGGCAATGTTACCCTAACTCTTGTTGCTTCAAACAACACACCCGTTTATTATCTCACATTTTCTGCATGTTATGAAAGCAGATACTGCTGAGATACATTCCCAGCTTTAGGTCTCACATGGCTCCAATCAAATGTCAGCAGGGCCTGTGATCTCGTAGGCTGAGCTGGGAGGGCCAGCTTCCAAGCATACTCCGGTGCTGGCATAATTTCTGTTCCTGGGGATGGTAGGATGGAGGGCTTCAGTTTCTTTGTGGTTGTCAGCTACAGACCACCCTTAGTTCCCGGTTGCCACACACAGTTCTTAAGTCAGGAGAGAAACGGTGGGGGTGGGGGGTGGGAGTGTTCTAGGGCCGACTCAGCTCTGTTCTATTATGGGGAAATAGGCCAACAAAAAGTACTCAGGCTCAAACCTGTGCAACCTTTTATGGTAAAGCAGGATGACTTGAGGGGCAGAACCAAGAGCCTGAAGTGTTCTTAGGCCTTAGCTGAACCCAGACCCTTGTTTTGGAGCAGTGACCTTTCCCCTCCGTTCACTCTTGTTGAATGGCAAGGTCTACAGCACAACCGTATGTCATCAATTATTCAGCAAATATGCAGGCTTGGGTAACAGGTGGCCTTTCTGTTTTCCCTCACATGTCTGCAGGTGGAGAGGACTGGAGGGCGGGCACAGGTAAGACTGAATTCTAGAAATGAAGCAGGGGTTGCCAGAGGTGAGAACTTGGGAGTGTGTATTGGTTTCCATCCTTCCAGCTCCTGACAGTGCTCAGGGTGTGTGTGTGTGTGTGTGTATGTGTGAGAGTGTGTGTGTGTGTGTGGTGTGTGTGTGTGTGTATGTGTGAGAGTGTGTGTGTGTGTGTGGCTGTGTTTGAGTTCATGTGTGTGCATTTGTGCGTCCCTAACCTGTAAGTCTTAAGTGGAATCCTCTCTATCCCTGCTGTCTAGTTCTGTGGCTGTGCTGGAGTTCTGGAACTCAGACAGCACACGGGGGTAGAGCGCTTGTCTAGCATGTGCGAATCCCCGGGTTCAACTCCCAGCACTGTACAAACTGGGCGTGGCAGCACATGCCTGCCATCCTATTGCCCAGGAGGTAGAGGCAGAAGCATCAGAAATTCAGGGTCATCCTTGGCTACCCGTTGAGCCACAGGGTGGAATGGGACACGTAAGACCCTGCCCACTACAAAATAAAAGGGAAAGAAGGAAGTGAATCACTCGGACCTGGCATGTTTACTCATTTGCTCCTTCTCGAAAATCTTTCATTGGATGGCTAAAATTGTCCTAGAACACAAGTCCCCACCGTGTCCTTCCCTCCACTTCCTACAGCCAAGCCCAGGAATCTCCAGCTCCCAATCAGAGGTGAGAAGGGATGGTGTTGATCATGTTGGAAGAGAGAGAAACTGGGGCTGCCTCTACCTCCTGACACACTGACCTAAGCAGCTCACAGTGAGCTCCTGGTCATCCTAGGAGCATGTGTCCCCGGCCTGGGAGCAGACAAAAGTTGTCTTACCTTTTTTGGGGGGCCATCTGCTGCTCTGATTCAGAGGGTGGAGGGTGTGTTGTGTAACCAGAGAACACACATTTCATTCCCCATTCTGTGATTCATTCAGTCAGATCCTCCTGGTGCTTGGGGCAGGCCTGTGTTCTTGCTGGTTTTTGTTTTTTTAATTTACAGTTCTGTCATCGCTTTGTCTTTTTGTTTGAGTTTGTGGATTTTTAAATGTTTATTGTGAAATTTTGTTAAGCTGTGTTCTATATAGGGGTCTCTACAGTTGTGGTTTGTGTTGGTCTTTTATTTCTGGTTTTAATGAAGGGTGTGGGACTGGGAGAGGGCTGTGACCTTTAGGACACACTTTTTGATGAAATTCAGGTTTGTGGCTTTGAGGTTTTTGTTTTTCCTTGTTGTCAGAAAGACAAAAGGAATGGCATTTAGTGACTGCTGAGTGTTTTATACATGTTAGATGCCACATTTTCATGTCGTTTCATACATAATCTCAGCAGGACTCTTGTAAGGGGCCTTTCTCTTCTAAATAAATAAAGCAACCAAATCCGAGCCAATGTAAAAATTTGTCCATATGTGTATTGATGAAAATTAAATATGAATCCAACTCTTTGGACTCAAAGTGTCTCGTTAGAAAGGCAAATATCCCAGTTCTGTGGACAACCCTGAGTTATCCCATCTGCTCCCTCTTCAGCCAGGCCTGGCCATCATCTCAGATGCTATGTAACAGGACCTACACCTATGCTGGGCCTTTGACTTATATTATGGCTTGCATGCATTATGGAATGTCCCTCCCAGGCTCATGAGTTTGAACACTTGGCCCGTGGCTGGTGATGCTGTTTCGGGAGGCTGCTGAACATTTAGGAGGATGAACCTTCCTGAAGGAAGTCAGTCACTGGGGGAAAGTCCTGAGGTTTTATAGCTCTGCCCACTTCCTGCTGGCTCTCTGCTTCCGGAGTGGATACAGTGGGACCAGCTGGCCTGCTGTTCCTGTTGCTACATCTTCCTCTCCACCATGGGCTTGGAAGCCCCCTTGAACTTTTGAGCCAGAATAATGCCTTTCTGCCATAATTCGCCCTTATCAGGATGTTTTCTTCCCACAACAGCAGGGAAGGTAAACAAGACAGCTGATTGTGTAGACCGAACTCTGGTCAGGGAGACCGACCTACACTTAGCTCAGAACAGCATTACTCCGAGGTACTCCGCCTCTCCCGGGGGAGGTGCCTGTGGTCCTCCTCTCCGGAAGAACACTGTTTCAGAGTGTTCAGACCTTGGCTCAGCTGAGTGGAGGTGTCCAGCATGCCCTCTCCAGCACATACCACCGATGTGCCGAGAGGCCTGTTCACTGTGCAGGACGTGGAGTCTGGCTCCCGCTGGCCTGGCACAGCAGCTGGCCAACCACGGTTGCGGTTGCTTTCCCTTCCCCAGCATCAGTCAGGGGTCTGCCTGGAGTCTCTGATCTCCCTTAGCAAAAACACTCAGTTCTGGTCTTCCTTGGTAGGATTTTGTGGCTCCTTCCTTCACCTAAAACTATGAGATCTTGCCTTGCCTTTCCAGAAACTTCCTTAAAGTGTGGGAATGGGACTGTATTTAACCTTTCACTCTGTTTTCAGCCTTGAACTATTTTCTTTTTCTTAAAATGCCAAAGCCCGACATTCTACTATCTCCTGTGGTATCCCCATTTTCCCAAGGGGAGTGGCATCACCTGGCAGCCTGGGGGGCGGTGGCTTTGAGGGTTTCAGGCATCACTCCTATTGGTCTTGTCCGGTGCAGGTTGTCATTTGTGAACACACGGAGGGGCCTTCGTTTCCTGCTTCATTCTGAAACCACTTGCTTTTCTGTGGATAACCTTCACTAGGGATCCCCAAGGCTTTCAAACAGAACTGCTGCATGGTGTGTCCAAGGCATAGAAGTTATTCGGCTTCTGGAGCAGTCCCACCTCATCCCCGGATAGACTCAATACTGCCAACTCCAGAGGCGACGTCTCTTGACAGTCGGTAGATGTTGCTTATGATACAGCAGAGGATGTTGTTGGGCCAGGGAGCCTACAAATGAGCGGTAGATATTTCCAGATAGAAAATACTTAGTTCTGTGTGTCTTGGTGCTTGTGAGAGTCCGTCTTCATCATGGATGGACAGGATGCAGAACTGAACTAGGATGGCTCCCCAGGCATTTCTGGAGACGACTGTCTGAGGAGGGAAGACCTACCTTGCAACAGACAGCCCAGGAGTAAAGAGGCCTGAGAAGAAGGCAGCACCGCCCATCTGCCTTCACATCATATTTCTGGGCCAACGCACCACCATCCTCGACTAAGACTTCATCCTCTTTGGTTTTTCTGTGTGCATCCAGGCTCTGTGACCTCTAGGTTTCCAGAACTAGGTTAAGACTATTAGGACATCCAGCCTCATGGACGGAATTGCGCCCGAGCGCTCAGCCTCTGTCGCGTGTGGGTGGCTGCTGCTCAGCTACCGGACACCTGCCGTGCAAACCAACCCAGTAAGTCCCGCCCCTTTCTGCCCCTTTCAAGGACCCCCCCATCCCCCCTTACCATATCAGTTCTCAGCTCAGTCTCAGCAACAGGAAAGCGTCTCACACATGGCCTCTGTGGGAGGAGACGGCTTCACTGTTAAGAGTCAATTAAAATCTAGACGAGGCCCCGAAAGCTCCCTGTATGGACAAGGCCGCTGAGGCATCACCACAAGTGTCTCCAGCCTGGCTCCGCTTGCAAACAGGAGTGAAACTTGACTTGAGCTGTTTCTTGTAAAACTCTGTATTAAAAGAGAAACAGAATTAAGCTTGGCCGATTGAAAACAGCCAGTAAACTCAGTTATATAACCGGCAAGTTTATAGTGGGGTAGACCAAATAAGACAGCTTTACAACTGTAACCAGATACTTTCTTTGTATTCTTTCCATAAAAAAAAAAAAAACTTTCCCCCGTGAGCTTCTTCAACGGAGTCCCCAAACCACGTATGGTTTGGAGATGCCCAATCCATGAATCATTGTTTGCTCAAAAAAAAAAAACACTCTTCAAATTTTTATTGTGCCTCAATTTACCTCCTAACAGATGTGTTACAATAAGATTAAAAAATAATAATAATAAAGCCAGACAGAAGAACATGTTTGGCCCAAGGGCTAACGGCTTGCTGGGTCCAGACATCTGGAATTGGAGAAGCTATCTGAAGAGAAACTTGAGAAGAATGAAAGCCAACGGCCAAGGTCAAGGGCCTGCTTGCCCCTCTGTTGAAGTCCAAGCTTAGAGCTGGCATCCACGCCGCCAAATGTCTCCAAGCATCACTTGGTTTTGTTTTTATATGCAAATTCCATCCCCATCTTTTCTAGAAATCATGGTCTGCTGGACCCAGACACTGAGAGGAGGGAGGGTAAGGGAGGCTAACAATAAACATCTCTTTTTTTTTTTCCTGTCCAGACGTAGAGTCAGTTAAGGGATGAAACGCAGACGTTGAATGTGGAGGCGAGATCCTTGAGCTAAGTCCCCAAATTCAGGCAACCTCACCCTGAACGTGTCCTCCCTGCAGACGCGGGTCGTGTTTAGAAGGGAGAAAACAGGCTTCAATGTTCAATAACGTTTCCGTTTCTTTTGCCAGCCAGGTGAGGGTAGTTCCTGCAGCCCCGCGTCTGTTGCAAAGCACCTAGCAAGAGACAACCTAAGGGAAGAGAGTTCACAAGAAGGGTGTCGGTCATGGTGGGGAAAGTGGGACAGCAGGGGCCTGGCGTGGCTCATCACATGGCCCCTTCAGTCAGGACCGGAGCAGGGCAGGGGTAGACAGGCAAGAGGAATGGAATAGGAAGAGAGAAAGAAGTATCGGCTGATCGGGGTGTCCTTCTGTACATCGGTTTCTCCCATTGGTTGATGCATACAGCACTGTAGCCAATGAGGCAGGATGGTAGGTGGGACTAGGAGACAAGAAGGATTCTGGGAAAGGTAGGCAGTGTCAGTCAAGACACAGGCTGCTGGAGGAGTAACACCATGCCCGGTGTTACCGGGTAAGCCACAGCCTCGTGGCAATACATAGATTGATAGGAATGGGTTAATAATTAAGACAGAGCTAGCAAATAAGAAGCCTGAGTCAACGGCCAACAGTTTCATAATTAACATAGCCTCCGTGTGTTCGTTTGGACCTGATGCAGCAGTGGGACCAGGCTGCCCGGGAAAGAGTGCCTGTAACACGCTTACTTTCTCCTTTTTATTCAGTCCAGGGCCCCAGCTTATGGATGGTGCTCCCCCGCACCCAGGGTGAGTCTTCCTTCCCTTGTTAAATCTTTCTGGAAACATTTCATAGACACACCAGCACCGTGTTTCTTGGGGGATTCCAAAGCCACTCAAGTTGAAGATGAAGGTAAACCATCCTTCCGGGCAGATGTGAGGCAGGAAACTTGGAAGGATCTAAAAGTACATTGCCGGTGTCCTTTGCCTCCAGACAGAAGATGTTTTCCTCTTGATCAAGGCCAGAGGGTGAAATGACCTCTGTGTAGAGGGAAAAAGGAGAACTGAGAATTGCGTCACTGATGGAGAAAGCCAGCAGGATTTTTCAGGCTGAGTGACACCTATACAACTATCTAAAACCTCCGCTTTTGGTACTTTTGCTCTATTGCTTCGCTGAGGACCCAGGAAAGTCAAGGACATTCTTGAAGCAATGTGCTTGATGAGATTTCCAGGTTTCTCCACCTTCAGTCAAATAGAATCTTGGTGGCAACCTTTGTAGTTCTGCAGCATCAGGACCAACAGACACTTGCCCTCTTTCTGTTGGCACCCGAAGCATGGATAGGCAAGGAGGCAAGCTCAGGGTTATCTAAACAAATCAATGAACACTTCCCATCTAAGCTGTTGGTTTTCTCCATCACAGGCGTGATTAACTAGTTAGTCACACATCCTTCCTGTCTGCTATCTTTCAAGCCCTGAAAGGACTTATGGACCTTTGGATTCACCTTGTTTCCTTTGTTTTCCGAGTAATTGCTGGGGAGGAAAGATGGGTGACAACTCATGCCAGCATCCAGAGCACACGGCCTGAGATTTTGAAGTCCCTGGGAGCTGACGACAACTTCGGCTATGAAGAAGTACCTGCTGGTTTGTTGCTACCTTTTATTTGAAGGCTTTTGTTTCTGAGGTTTCGAAAAAGCTTAGGAGGAGCAAGAAAGACATCTGAGCTCTTAAGGGCACGTGTGCTGCTCTTCTGGGGACTTTAGATAGGTTCCCATTACAAGTGGATCAAGAATGCCTATAGCTCCTGCTCCTGGATTATCCCATATCCTCTTCTGCCCTCAGAGGGCAACTGTTGTTATGTGTACATGCTCATACATAGACATATCCATGTAGTTAAAAATATGTATTTTTAAAGGTCAGAGAAGTAAATATAGAGGCTCCTTTTAAAAGGGGGAATGAAATAGAAAAGAAAGTTCCCCAATTTCCTTGGTACCTTTCCTGGGAAGGGTCTGTAGGGAGGTTCATGTCTCCGGAGGTGAGACCGCCCCCTGAGTGAAAATAGAAAGTCATTCTACAAATACAAAATGCAGTTGGCTGTCATTTAACAGGGGGTAAGTTCTTTTGGATTATGATTTCTTTGATTTATCACAGCTCTGGCCTAGGCTGCAAGTGCATTTCTGAAAGCAAAATAAATGGAAAACCATTTCCTCCCCACTGGTGTCTTGCTCTGTCCTAATTGTGGACTTACAGGGAAAGCACAGGACTTCCCTGGGCGCATTCCTAAGCCCGTGAATGAATGAGATGAAGGGCTGACCCCAGCAGAAAAGAATCTCTACAACAGAAGAAATACTTCCCCAGCCTGGAGCCCAGTTAGCACCATTCTCTGTGAAGAATAAGTAGCCCACTCCTAAGACCCCTGGAACCCCTAGGACCTCCCCTTAGTGAAAAGAACCCATTTGTTTAGTAAGTGTAGAGGCCATGACTATTCCAGATTCATGTGATTTTCATTCCTGATTATTCCCTGAGATCTTTCCTGCCCACTACTCTCACCATCAACACATATACTCACATGCATACACATATACATACACACATGTATGCACACATATGCGTACACATACATACACATGTATGCGTACACATACATACACATGTATATGAACACATGCATGCTGAGGAATAACGCTCTTGTTCAATGTAAAGATTTGTCACTTGCATTGGTTTAATAAAACACTGATTGGCCAGTAGCCAGGCAGGAAGTATAGGTGGGGCTACCGGACTAGGAGAATTCTGGGGAGAGGAAGGCAGAGACACAGCTGCCAGCCACATGCAAAGAAAGCAAGATGAGGATGCCTCACTGATAAAAGTTACCAAGCCACGTGGCTAAACATGGATAAGTATTATGGGATAATTTAAGTTGAAAGAGCTTTTTAGTAATAAGCCTGAGCAATAGGACAAACAGTTTATAATGAATATAAGCCTCTGTGTGCTTATCCAGGGCTGAACAGCTGCAGAACCGGGCAGGACAGAAACTTCGGCCTACACAGTCACATACACACATTTGCACACACCAACGACACACATGCATATGAGCACAGGCACATATACACACATGGACACATGTACATACACACATAAAAATACACAGACTTACATGTGCACACGTATTTACACATGCATACATATATACACATTTGCACGCACATAAAGATGTATACACATACAAGTGTATACATATGCACATATACATGAGTGTATATATATATACATGCATGCATACATACATATATATGTTTATGTGCATATCCGTATGTTTACCTGCATATACATGCAGATGCGCTTTTCCCATCCTTGATTCTTTTCCATCCGTCTTGATCATTGCCTTGTCTCTTGATGAACCTCAGCTGAATTCTCTTTCTGTCTTTGAATGAACTTTAGTATAGGAATCACATTTTGAAGAAGTTACTTTTCCCCAACTTCTAAAACAAATACAGCCGTATCCAAAGGCCTGGAGCCCAGTGGGAGTGGCAGTACCCCTGTTTTTCCTGAGACTCACGGAACATTAAGAGCAGTGGACAGGTTCTGTGGCTTCCCCTGGGCCGTACTGGCTCAGCTGAGTGACCTCGAAGCCTGGAGTGTTCACCACCTGGCCCTTAGGCAAGTCTGTTTCAGGAAGGCTTCCCATTGCCCGGGATTTGCCGGGATGAAAGTAGGTGAAGGATCATCCGTGATGTGCATATCACAGCCTACTCGTGGCTCCCTAAGTCCCCAGCCTGCTCTTCTTAGGAAATTAACAACTGATGCATTAAGCCTTTTCCCTCCATGACAAATACCCAGAAGCAACATAAAGAGATCCTTCCTTTTTGGCTCAGCCTCAGAGGTTTCTCTTCATGGTCACCCGCGCCCCCTCCCCACGTTTTGCAGCCTGTGGTGAGGCAAGGCACCATAACGGAAGGGTGTGGTAGGGCAGAGCTGCTCACCACATGGAAGCAGACAGACAGGGAAGGGGCAGGGAAGGAGAAACACCACATCCTGAGGAGGCATGTCCCACCTGATAACAGCTCCTCTCACCAGACTCCACGGCCTGATGACCCCACTGATGAAATGAGCGCTCACATCAAGGTGGGGACCAAACCTTCAACACCGGAGCCTTTGCAGGACGTTCGTATCAAACCACAGGGTCTGGTTTTTCGATTCCTTAGCATCTTCAAGTGTGTGGATACGCGAGCGGCCGCATTGGCTGCATCTTTCTGTAAGTTCCCAGCAAAGGTTCCCTTCCTTCTTCTTCCTGATGGTTGTGTAGTCTAAGTCAGGGTACCCAAGGCTTGACTAGCTGGGACCCTGGCATACAGGGATGGAGAAATGGCAGAAGAAGAATCGATATAGTTGCCTCCTTAAATGTCACTAATGCAAGAGAGGAAAAAGCTTCTTTGCTGTCCAGCGCGACAATCGGTAAACATTTTTGATACCCACTGTTTGTTCCCTTCCTTTGGTGCAAGCTTTCTGACAATTTAAAATTCTGTGTGTGTGTGTGTGTGTGTGTGTGTGTGTGTGTGAACGTGTGTATGCATGTCATGCACTTCTGAAGGACAAAGGACAACCTTGGTTGTCCAGCCTTGCCTTCTACCTTGTTTAAGACAGGGTCTATCTTATCGTATTTGTGCATAGCTGGCCCGGGGCACCTTAGAGTGGGTGTCGAGGTACTGCTGCTGTGGCAGGGAATGGTGGCCCATGCCTCTCATGCCAGCACCCAGGTTGAGGCATGTTCAAACCCAAAGTCAGCCTACACCCTGGCTTCAAAATGAAATCCTGCAATAAACACCAAGCGAAGCGTGACCCCGGGGAGCTCAACCCCCAAACCCAACGTGAAAAGCCAGACGTGGGGTGCTGTGTGCCTGGAGCCCCAGAACTGGGGAAATGGAGGCTTCCTTGAAGCTTTCTGGCCAGACGGTCTCAGCTGATTGGTGAGCTTCAGGCCAACGGGAGACCCTGTCTCCAAGGATGTTCCTGAAGATGGCACACGGAGTAGTCTTCACGCCTCTACTTGCGTGCAATAATGTGCACACACACCTACATGCATTTGTGAGCACATACGGGGATTCACACGTGTGCAGGCACACACACGTCTCACATACACACCACACACACACACACACACACACACACACACACACACACACACACAAACCAAAGATACAAAAGCAAGCAAAAAGATGGCTGTGGGACCTGAAGGGACTTCCACAGCCTGGGTTCTCTACACTGTAGAGATTTTGTTTTGCTTCCTTATGTCGTCCACTACACACAGCTGAAGCCGGCCTCCGGCTCCCGGTCATCCCGCTTCCACCTCCCAAGTGATGGGGTTATAGGTATGCGTCGTTATGTCGGCTGTGTGTTAGGGTTTGGAACAGTACCATCTTTAACACGTTTGTACAGACCACTTTTGCCAGTTCTACGGCTACTCCAAGTCCTAGCCTTCATCAGTAGCTCTACCATTGTCATTTGCTGCTCCAAATACCTCTCTCTTACAGCGTGAGTCATGGGGAAGTGCTTGCAAACGTGCTTAGGCTACACTTGTCAGTCAAACCCATGATCCTGACTCCCTGGCCCCTCCTTCTGGTGAAATCTTCACTTTGTTTTACTCTCCCCAGCTTCTGCACCCCAGAACCACACACACACACAGTGGCTTATCCAAGCCTAGAAGTATTATATGAACACTCTGGAAGTCGGATATCTGAAACAACTGGATGACAATCAGACTTTAGATAGCATCAGGATTGGGTTTCTCTCTGGAGAGAGGGCTTGTTTCCTTTTTTTTTTACCCCCAGCTTCTAGGAATGAATGTCCCACGTCCCTTGGCTCTTGGTTCACTTTCTGAGTCTTCCTTGGATGTGTGCTGCTTATGAGGCCTTCTCTCACTTTTATGAGCCTCCTGATGAGGCCAGGTTACTCAGAGAGCCCAGGGCAGCATCCCCACAGCAAGGTTGGATGTGGGAGAGCGCAATTTCATTAGCAGCCTTCATTCCCCTTCTCTGTGTGGCATCACAGGTTTATGGTTGGGAGGTCATACCTTTGGTGACACCTATTTGTGAACCCTGAGACAGATCCCCCAGGATGAAGTGAGCTATACTCTGACTGTTATTCCCTCCACGTGTAGTGGCCCCTTTTGATCCCAGGTCTTAGAAAAGTCACACTGTAATTATTTATGTAATGCTTCCAACACTTCATCGGCAGAGCAAGCCCTTGGCCTAATTTAATGTATCCTCTTTTCGTTCCCATTGTGTCTAAAATAATGTATGTATTCTTCATAGAATGCCTGGTCAATATGTGGGTTCTATCAGAAGAATAAAGGGTTGATGGTAAATAGTAAGGTGGGTTCAGGCTACTTGATGACAGATAAGTCTGAATATTTGAGACAGGGTCATGGAGTCACAAGCCATGAAATGGGCACAGACAGTCAAGAAGAGGCAAATATCTAAAATATCTAAAATGTACATACTTTTATCTTTTAAAGACACAGCAATGCAAAAACACTGCATTTGAGAAACCTCACTCTTTTAGGGAGGAACCCTGAAAAGCAACAGCCGCATAGGGATGGTAGAGTCACCCAGTGTGGAAGTGTGTGTGTGTGTAAGCATGAGTATGAGTGTGTGCTGATGTGTGTGCACTTTAAGCATAGGAAATAAGCACAGACAGATGAATGCGTTTAGGAGCCTCACTCCTAGGGACTAGAGTTTTGGTGCAGGAGATTGCGGCTTCCCTCTTCTCTGAGCTGTCCTTGGGTGGAGGAGGTCAACGCTGGCTGTGTGAGCATGACACATATTTCCTTCTGGCAACAATCAGCTTCCTTTTTCCAGTTCTGTTCTCCCACACACCCTCTGATAAACAGTCTGGTGTCGGAGGGGACCCACTCACCAGGAAGGGAGTGCCTGGTCCAGCTCTGATGGTCAATCCTGTTCTCAGCCCCGGCGGCGGCGGCGGCAGTTAGCCCATTGAAAAATAATTAATTTAGCATCCCTGTTCATAAGCGGCCTGTCTACGTTGTTGGAATGAATCAATTCTCCGGAGCCTGCTGGGCAGTCTAGTGTAGAGAGTGCACTCAGCTCCTCGAGACAAAGACAACCCCTTGCTCATAGCCATCAGGATATAACTCTTTCCAAGCATCCCCCGCCCCCCCCGTCTGCCTGGTTTCCATGCAGCGGGGCTTTGAAGAGCAC